AGACATAATCTTATTCCAGAGGCATTCATGATCCATCTGAACAGTCATTCCAACAGCTGGATGCTTTTGATGATCCTAGTAATGCTATACCTGCTTTCATTCAGTCAATAGACATTTACAGAGTATCTATAGTACACTACTAGGTATGCATCATCTTTCTCACCATTGGCCAAAGACCTGACAAGAATCACTTAAGGGAGGAAGGATTTGGCTCACAGTTTAAGGGAACATTCTATGATTGTGGAGAAGGCTTGTCAGTAGGAGTAGATCAAGGCTGTAGGTGGAAGCATGAGACTGCTTGTTCACATCTCTATGGATCAGGAAGCAAAGAGAATTCTGACACTGACCTGCCTTTTTCTTTTTTGCCCTTTTTGTCCAGTTCAAGACCCCAGCCCATGAGATGGTGCTTCCCACATTAACGTGGTCTTTCCCACTCAGTTAAACTCTCTGGAAATAGCTCCAAAAACATACTAAGAGCTGTCTCCTATTGAGTCTAAATCAGTCAAGTAGACAATAAGGATTACCCATCACAGCCAGGTATAGGGGGACTACAGAAGACAGACAGGTTCCTACCCTGTAAGAATTACCCTGTTTGGTTAGGCAAGAAGCAATAGAAATTATATAAACAGCATAACGTTATTGTGGTACACAGTAAGAGGAAGGCTTATGTTATCAATAAAAAGGTTGTTCAAGAAGACCTGGTTGGGGAAATCACACTTGAAGTAGCACAGAGTGACAGTGTCAGCACTCAACTGTCCATTAATGGCAAGAACACAAAACCCCAGAGGAAGAGGTGATCTTATAGTAAGAACAGCTAGTGGGTTTCAGGCACATCATGGTCTATGGGCTCAATTAATATCACTGGGCCCAATACCTCTCTGTGTTTCAGTTCTGCTTTGTCTATGCCAATTTTTCTCCTAGGCAGTCCCCTATCAACTAGGCTAGTGTGGGGTGCAAATCTAGATTCCTCTTGTTCTCAAGAAAACACAAAGAAAAAGGACATTTCCTCCCTCAACGGCTCAGACACTAGGCCTGTTTCTCTTGCTGGCTGTCATGGACCCCTTGCTCATTTATCATCCACTTAGTTTAGCCAAGGTGACAAGACACCCTGACAGGCTTAGGCTGCCCTGAGTCACATGACCCCCCTCAAAGCCATCAGCATCCCCAGAGTTGACTATATTCTCATCAAGGTACTTGAGCTTCCAGTGCCTCTGTTTCTTTGTCTGTCGGTGAGTATAGAGATGGTGCCTTCTAGGGGAGAACTTGAGAAGAACTCCAGACAGGAGGATAGTAAGGAGCAGGGTAGGGGTTGCAAGAACCTGGGGTGGGAGCAAGGAGGGAGGTTGTGCTGCCTAGCTTTATGTCAACTTGGCACAAGCTAGAGTCATCAGAGAGGATCGAGCCCCAGTTGAGAAAATGCCTCCATAAGATCTGTCTGTATGGGATTGTCTTAATTAGTGCTCTTTGGGGGAGGGCTCAGCCCATGGTGGGCAGTACCATCTGGTGGTCCTGGGTTCTATAAGAAAGCAGGCTGAGCAAGCTATGAGGAGCAAGCTAGTAAGCAGCACCCCTCCATGGCCTCCGCTTCTGCCTCCAGATTCCTGTCCTGCAAAAGCCTTTCCTCGCTGCTTTTGATGATGAACTGTGTTATGGAACCGTGAGCAAAATAAATCCTTTCCTTCCCAAGTTGTTTTTGGTCATGGTGTTTCGTCACAGCAATAGTAACCCTGACTAAGACAAATGATGGCTGAGTATGGGGAACTGACTAGGAGCTGGACATGCAGGCATGGGTCCATGTGTACAGGACAAGAGTAACACTCACTGTGCTTGATACCTCTGCTTTACTATAGTATAGATGTAGCATCCTTCTCGATGTGGACAGAGTACAGCTTACTGGTGCCTGCTGCCTTTCTCTGGAGGTGCAGAGTCCACACACACACACACACACACACACACACACACACACACACACACACACACACGTTGAAACCTTTGGTGACCACTGGTTTTGAGGACAGGATCTCTTTCCATCTCTGGAGTTGTTGTTATGGTCAAGCTCACTGTGTTAGGAGCTAGGCTGGTGCTATTTCAGATGACTGGTCACATTCCTGCTTTGATTCATTTCATGTTGATTTGTCATTTAACAAAGAACAATCTTATTTCCCACATATTCAGGTTTTAGGATAGTGCCTCGGTATTGGTCCAACTATCCCAACTCTCATAGTCTCTTCATATACTTGGTAATTTTGTGTTGACAGAATGTGAAGTTTAAGGTGATTTATAAAATAGGTACAAAATGTCACAGTAGCTTGTGGTCTTTTATTTGATTAGTACCTAGTTATCCCTGTTCCAAAATCTCTTTGGAAAATTACTATTTAACTTTTAAATCCAGACTCAAGTTATTGGGTTTTCATAGTAGTGAATTTAAAGAATAATTTTGAAATGAGTCAATTACCCTGGGTCAGGGGCAGAGGGGAGTCTCTCCAGGGATAGTGTTTATCAGAGAAGGAGCCTGTTTGGGAAACTCCCCAGTGTCCTTGGCTTCTTTCCTTTCACCTCTAAGTTCAGTTTGGAAATTGCAACATTTAGCACTTTGCAGTTTAATTTAAAAGGATTACCTATTTTCTTAAATGCTTAAGCAGCGGAGCAAGTTGCAGCTATTGATTTTCCTCTGCATGTATTCCGTGAAAGCTGTTTCTGCTCCTTCCCCAGGGAGCACACCTCCTGAACTGCATGCTTGTTGGTGACAGCTTGGACCTCTGATACATAACCAAAGACTTTGCCTAATATCCTTTCGACTGCTCAGGGAATTTATATTAAGTGAAAGCATCATTAGAGTAGACAGGATGATGAAGTTTAATGAGCATCTTTTGTACATGCTGTTGTTGGTTTTGCTCTTTCCAGAATCCAGTCTTCTCCCCTCCGGTGGGGCAGAGAGTGAGGCTGGAATGTGTGTGGAATGTTTTCAATTCTGCCTTCTAGTATATGTTGTGTTTGGGCATGGCCTCACATCTGTGTTCAAGCAGCTACATGTTTCTTTGGGCTGTTTGTGTAGATGCTGCCTACTCATGTGTGTTTGTACATTCTTTTTACACTGTATTGAGAACAGTGAACACTGGAAGAAATGATGGGGAAGATGGGAAAGACCCATATTGCTGCTGGTGAAATTGTGTGGAAGCATCTCAAAAACAAAAACAAAAAAAAGAAACAAGCATTTTGAATTAATGAGACTTCTCTTAGGAATAGGAGAATAGTTATATGTTTTTTCTTCAGGACTCAGCAATTTATATGCTAAGATTCTGTCACCAGACCCTCATAGCTGCTAGATGGGATAAATAAAGATCCTGCAAATGCTTATTAATAATCCAGGCTTCACACTTTGTCCACAAATTTATTTGCAGCGATGTTAAATTTAGCACCCTACCATCAGATTACAGATTACAAGCAAAATTACTTCTCATTATTTTTGCTGGCCATCTACTTAGGTTTTAAAATTGGTTCTTTTCTTGGTCTGTATATGGACTTTCCATGGAAACACCCAAAACAACAGTAGGGAGGCATATGACACAAGCAAACGACTTCAGAGCAGCATATTGCACCTCGCATATACCTGGCATTCCAAAACACAATATTTACATGGCACACAATGTGTTTCTAGTGTGCCTTGAGTATACAGAATACAAAAGAAGTGAAGTTTGCATTCCCCACTCGCAAGAAGAAAACATGGTCCTCTTATTAAGAAAACCAGACTGGAAAGTCTGGAATGGTGTAAGACACGATAACTTAGTCAGGTTTGAACTCTGGAGTAACTGTCTAGGTTGACCCAAGCCTGAAGTTGGAAAGTGTCAGCTTTCTCATTTGGATAAAGATAGTGGTGGGACCTACTTCACTGGGCAGCCGTGACAGCGCACAATGAGCGCGTGGAAGCCACTGTACAGTGAACCCAGCATCATCAAGGCATTCTGCTGATGCCTTGAAATAATGAGCCAAGGGCAGGAGTCACTGTGTCAGCCAGGGCTTAATGGTGAGAGCCTCATCAATCTGCAGTGCTTCCTGAAGGCAGAATAGGGGAGAAGAACAGTGAAGGCTGGGGAAGCCTCAAAATAAGACTGAAAGCTGACTTGTAGAAAGGACCCAGGCCAGCATTCTGGGCCATAATAACACAGATCATCCACAGCAAAAAAGCACAGAGACCTAAATGAATGATAGCTGCTAAAACACTGGTATCGGGCCTCAAACTGACTTAGCATTTTTTCTCTTTTATATTTGTATGTGTGCATGCATGGGTGTCCATGTATGTGGGCACATGTATGTATGTATGCATGTACATAGAGATGCAAGGTTAACACTAAGTGTTTTCCTTTGTCATCCTCCTCATTTGCTGAGACGGGTTCTCTCAATTGAACTCAGACGTCTGTATTTCACCTAGTCTACTTAGCCAGCTTGTTCTGTGAAGCACTTACCTAATTATTCTTTATCAATTAAAAAAAATTAGAGTCAGATATCAGAGTAAGAACCTGAATGATCAGAGAAGTGGTGCAGCAGCCATCAGTGACCTTCTATCTCTTCCTTTCCTCCATGTGAAAGGGCTGAGATCCTCTCTCAGGCCCACCTTACTACTTCCTGCTCCCTGTCTATCCTCAGTCCTCCAAAACCTCTATGGTTAATTGGTCAGCTAGTGGCTAGTTCCACCCTCTGACTCAAAGCAAGCTTTATTGTCAGAGTGCGGTCAAAATATCATACAACAGTTCTGGGGATCTGCTGCCTCCTCTTTTTAACCACTGGAATTACAGTAAGGCCACCTTTACATGGGTTCTGGAAATCTGAATTTCTATACTCATGTTTATCCCAAAAGCACTCTTTAACTACAGAGCCATCTTCCCAGCCCCAACTTTCCCCTAAATACCTTAATGAGTTCGTGTCAATCTTGACTGCCTTCTAGATTCAGTTTCCGGGATGTTGCTAAAATTCCTTGGAGGAGGCTCTTTGGAGAAGCTCACCTGCTTTGTTACATTTTGTAGCTGCTCTCCAGGTGGATTGAAGAGGCCATTGACTTGGAAAGCTTTGATGTAGTCATTGGAGCTGTAAAATTAGATGATCTTTCTGTGGAAGAGGATACAAAGAAATAAAAGCAGTGACATGGGACAGAAGAGATCTCCAGAGAGACATTCAGAGGATTCCAGGACAGAGAAGACTTACCAGAAGGAGGAGTGGGGTAGTCTGTAGTAGTCTTCATATTGGCAGCACTCAAGAAGTGAGATGTTCACAGCAGAAGACTGCAAGAAAATATTTGGGTTTGTCTAAGACTGAAAGTATCCCTATCCAGTAGAACTCATACATCAATAATGGAAAACTGCACATCTCATAATGCTTAATAAAAATACTGATTGCAAAATCTATTCTGATGTGATAGACTGGAACATTTTGTTATTATTTCTTACCTACTAACAGGTAGTAGTTTTCAGTTTCCTAGACTTGGTGTGGTCCGTGTACAACTGCTTTGATAACACACTTCAATAAAGCCGCTTTTAAAGGTAGGGTCCTGGGTGGCAAGAGCAGTCTGCAGCATCTTTTCCTAATGGTTCCCCTGGAGAAGGTCCTCATGGGGCATCTTCTGCTGGTAGCTCAGGGCATGGCCTACTCCCTTCACACTTTGTCCTCACAGGACAGGATGGAGGGCCTTGGGATCCTAAGCAAGGTAGTTCTAAGAGCATCCACAGGCTGATGGTCCCTTTGAAATTGACTTGGTCTGCGTCAGGCTCCTGAGAATAATGGATCCTTTCCTGTCACTTCTGCGTGTCCTTCGATGTGGTACGTTGTTTTTCAAACTCATTAACCATCTCTCATTTATCTTCTACAAACCTTAGATTTCAGAAATGAGATTTTCTAGGACTCTTTGCAAAAGGTATAACTCCCTCTGCCCCGTTTTCCAGCTTGCTTGAGCACTTTGCCCACTAGTGACTGTAACCTCATAGTAATCTTGAGCCAGATTCTCTCCTGTCAACACTGTCAAATTAATACAGCCAGGTGGCGATGCCTGCTGGAGTCCTTTCAAGAGGCGGAACCCAAGGACACGTGGTCACAACATAGGTTCCAGGCCATACTTCTGGTGTGGAAGCAAAGTGTGTGTGTGTGTGTGTGTGTGTGTGTGTGTGTGTGTGTGTGTGTGTGTGTGTGTGTGTATGTGGGGGGTGGGGAGGGCTAGGTAGCCTGAGTCATGAGTTTTGTGAGATATTAAAGATGGCGATAGCCATTAGAGCATCCATCATGTGCCAACATGGACAGGATCATTTCTGTATGTCTAGCTCCATCTTTCCTGGAGCCCTCCAAGGTGATAGAGAAATTTCATCTTCGTCTTGTAGATGAGAACATCAGACTGTGGTCACTTAGTGACAGTCCTAAGGCCATGTAGCATTTGAAACTGAATGCCAGACAGAATAGCTAGGTACACAGCTAGCTGGCTCTCTTCTCTAGGCACCTACAGTCCTGGGTGCTATGGGGTGCTTCACAGAGGCCATGGAATTGACATAATGCTCCAGGCTGAGGGGTAGCTGGGGTCTCCTTGGGTGCAGAAGTGGGAAGGAGCAGGACAAGTGAGGAAGGCTGGATTCTATAAGGCCCTAGAGGGCCTAACGGAAGGATTACAATGTAGTCACCTTTGCAGACCAATGATCTGTCTGCCACACTTAGCAAATGGAGGTCCCCCTGGGTAATAAGTGGTACAGCCAAGAATGGTACCCAAGAATTTGGACCCTGAGATCTGTATCATTACTGCCCTGCCACAGCCTCATCTCTCAGTGGGGATAGCTGCTCAGGATAAGGCTGACTCTCATCTGCCCACATAGCTGGAGGAATTAAAGGCTCACACAGGGGACAGAGGCATCATCCAGCCCTTCAGTGACTCACCGAGGAAGTGGGGCAATGCCATGGTTGCTTTCTTCAAAGAGAATTAAAACCTTTCTTCTAGAGTGTTTAGAGCATTGTCATTGACAGACGATAGCATGGTATTTTTTCAGAGAAAACCCCTAATGAAATAAGGTAATCATGTGATTATCTGTATTTAATCACTCTGGGTAGAATGCCACATCATAAGCCCCAGTTTTCACAGTGTTCTCTGCCTACTTCCAATAGATTTTCCATGGTGCCCAGCCTACAGCTACCCTGTAAGGAAAAATACTTACAGGTGAAGGAACTGAGGGATGGCAAAGGGTGGGTGGATGTGAAAACTGCTGGTCATTTGCTCAGAGTCAACACCGATTGAGGGTCAAAACTCTGACTGAAACATCTGCAGAGACTGCTGAGCCCTTTGTAGTGAGCTGCTGTGAAGCTCCAGGAAGTCCAGGCACACGCAGTGCAATCGGAGTATAAAAGGCAGCAATTAAAACACTAGAACATTCCTGCTCTTTCTCTAAAGGAAGGAGAGCCTTGCTGAGTGCCACGTGACATTTGCATCTCCTTCAGAGCCGACTTTTCTGGGAACCTCCTGCTTGCCCATGCGGCTCACTCCATTCAGGCCATGCCAGTTAAATCCCTTGTCAGACCTGAGCTCTCTTAACCCTCCATCACCTCTGGTTGTTGATATGCGTTTGCTAATGCTGAAGTAGTTTTGAGTTTCCATGTTATCTTAGTTATCCTTTCTCACTGCTATGACAGAATGCCTGATAGGCACAGTTTAAAGGAGGAGGATTTATTTTGTCTCTTGATTTCAGGAGATACCAAGCCGTCGTGATGTAGGTACAGCATTGAAAGCTTGTGGCATGGCTTGGATCACCCTTTGATGATAATGAAGCAAAGTGGGACCAGAAGCTAACCCTGGATATAATTCTAAAGACCTCTTCCCAATGGCCTACATCTTCCAGCTAGGCCCCATGTCTCAATAGTTCTGTAGACATGCCCCCCCAAAAACTGTGCCATTGTCTAAGGATCAAGGGTTCAAACACAGCCTATGAGGGCATTTTACATTCACACCAGAAGACATATGAATGAACTGTCTTGTTTCTGTTGGTTTTTCTAATCCATCAAGTCTGATGTTGACTGAGTTTGAGCATGTGTATTTCTTTTTCCTTTGTGGGGATAAGAGATTGTAAAACAGAGGGAAAGTATAAGAAAGCAGTATAACAGATGACCCTGAGATCGGGGTGTCCTTGTGGATGCACAGGACAAAGTCAGATCTTGGCTCTGTGTCATGCCAGAGGACCTCATGAGATGAGAGGCAGCCAGGGGAGCCTGGAGCCCCTGAACATGGGGTATGTGGCTTTGGGTAAAGAGATCGCAGAGACTGTTTGGTAGAAAAGTATGTTTCCAAATGTGCAAATTAAGATGAGGAGTAGGATGGCTAGCCTTCTTTGGCTCAGAGTCCGTTCTGTTTATTGTCTCTGGGAAAGATTCGGAAGAGGAAATACATAGGCAGAGATATTGATGGCATGGGAATCGAGTGACAGCACTAAAGTTGGACTTGCTTTGTGCACCGTGAAAAACCTTTAGTTCTTTCTAGGCTATAGGACCCCAGGTGTCCAGGCCACTCTGACCATTATGTTAGTACAAAGCTCTCTAAGCTCCTAATTGCTACAGTGCTTAAGCCTATCTGCAGGCTCCCTTGTAACCCCTACAGACATATGTTGCCTCCTTGACACAAGAGAATGGCTGTCCCTTTTACCTGCAGAGCAGTCCCCGCACCCGGCTCTGGGGTCCATCTCTTATGAGCTGCAACCGCGGAACTCCCAGCTCTGTGAGGACAGACCTCTCCATCACCACCGTTGGAACAACCAGCCTCAAGCACTGACACTTGGGAGCCTGCAGAAGAGAACATAATATTACCTACTGAAACGCTAGTACCTGGCTTGCCACCTACCAAGGGGGTGACTCCCTTTGCTGGGTCTTCCCCTCAGCTGGTCAGCCGTAGTGTCCATGCCAATCAAGAGCATCTTTGTGTTCATCACTGTGTGTAGCCATGTAGTGTTAGTATCAAAACTGGGAGAAGGGGTTGGGAGTATAGCTCAGTGGTCAAGCACTTGTCTAGAATGATTGTGACCCTGGACTCATCCTCAGCAGTATACAGTAAGTCAATCAGTATATATACACGAACAAACCTGAAACAGTAGATGTGATCCTTTGAGTAGGCATTAGAAGCAGTGGCTCCTTACATAGAGAGGTGAGTCTTTTGGCTGACCCTCATTCCATGAGAAAATAGCAGGTATCACTAGGACCGTGGCCAAGCCTTTCCTCTAGAGATACCGAGGGCATGGAACTCTCTGGAAGACACAGTTACATTAACGGGGGGAGTTAAGGTTGAGCTCTATTTATTCTAGGGTGGCTTTAATTTCGTTTAATCAGAATTACTCATAAATTATGGATTCATTACTATCTGCCGCTCAGTTAAATTCTTTCGGCAATGGATGCATCCGCTGTAATTGTGGGGCACTTTGTCAACATTTAATCAGCGGTACTTACTAATGTGGCATTGATGTGTGGTGGCCATCCCCACACTATCAATCACACAGGAGCAGCCAGGGTGACCCCCAGCACCATTGCTCTTCGTCACGTTAACCGGCCCCTAGGCCTTCAGGCCAAGCCTTGGTACTCACTCCTCATGACATGGCTACTCTGTCCCTCCAGTTCAGTGAGTCCTTTGTCCATGTAGACATAAGCACTCCCAATCTTTGGAACACCGCTCTGGAAGGGCTTTGTGAATATAACCTGTGTTCACAGTCCTGAAGATCTCTTCCTCTTCCTGCACCCTGTCCAGGAAGTGTGATACACGAAGAACCTTGTCTATGAGAGAAAACTGTAGCACAGGGTGTATACATGTACATGCGTTCTGTACATGCATGTGTAAAATCATAAATTCTCAGAGTGGATGAGGCAGAGTAAACAGATCATTTTTTGGCTTGTCAAATATATCTGGTGACTGAATATTTAAAGTTCTTCCTAAAGAAACGAGTAAACAAAGCTTATGACTTTACCCTCTCTCTCTCTCTCTCTCTCTCTCTCTCTCTCTCTCTCTCTCTCTCTCTCTCTCTCTCTCTCTCTCTCTCTCTTTTTCTGTAGCCTCTACGGCAGACACATGCAAGCGAACCCAGAACCCCCAAAGAAGAATAACGACAAATCCAAAAAGATCAGCCGGAAGCCCCTTGCAGCCAAGAACAAATGAGGAACAGACACTCTGGGCTCTGGCCTCCTCTTTAACTCTCCTGGCCTTCCTTGCTCTGTCTCACAGATAAATACCGTGTGCTTGTGCCTACTTTTAAAAAAGAAAAGTCTTTTCCGTCTCTCCTCCCACTGCTTGAGTGCAACCTCACCTCTGCACTTTTGAAATTCTTGTGGTAGGTGGTACATTTTTATAAAGTCTTAAATCCATTCCCATTTGTTTCCTAAAAATTGCCAAAGGCAGGAAACAAAGCTCTCATTCTCCTGCAAATTCCATGGTAGTCATAGGTTTCAGCTCCTTGAATAAACGTCACCAGGCTGCTTATTGTCAAAAGAATAATTAAAATCATGTAACCACTTAAATGTCACAGTTAACACTTTTAACACTTCTCATTCTTTCTGTTTATTCGCATAACTCATTATTGTGCCTTATTAAAAAAAATCTTCCTTCACCGCCAAGCTATTATGTTCATTTAACTCCAAAATGATTTTAATAAAATCTTGAATTTATATCACACGTTTCTTCTTGACTAAAATAAAAATTAACCTAGTATTGGGGTATACACATTTTTTATTACTCCCTTCCCCCACCAAAAAAAAAATTTTACCTCGTCTAATTTTACAGATGATAATCTATGGACCTTACCATAAAAGAAGTAAAACATTAAATCATTGTTACTTTCCTCTCACATCAATTTGTCAGGCTTTTTTTTTTTTTCTTCTCCTTTGAAGAGTGTTTCTAAATTAGGAAGGAGGAGAAAAACAAATCTCTAGGAGATTCTGCCAGGAGATTTTGGAAAGCAGCATCCTTTCGCCAAACGAAACTGTGACTTTTGCCAGTGCCTGCTAGACAAGGGCTGTGAAACAAGAGAGAGAAAAACTCAAGTGTGTGTTTTTGTGACTGGAGAGGATCTGTTCACATGGAAGCATTCTCCTAAGACACTGATGTCCACGAAGTTGTACCAGTGTGCACAGTCTGTACCACACCCGGTATGGAGACCACCTTGGCAGAGTCACTGAAGGACCAGTTGTTGATCTGCAATAGGCAGTTTTCCTTCTCACCAGCAGTGGGGTGTGTGTGTGTGTGTGTGTGTGTGTGTAGATGAAAACAAACAAGTTTTGTGGGAGCACCTGGAGACCTCACAACAAAGACAGGTAAGATGAAATGCTCTCTCACTGGGCTGTGGGAGCACCTGGAGACCTCACAACAAAGACAGGTAAGATGAAATGCTCTCTCACTTTTTTTTGGGAGAAGGACTAACTCTTTCCCTTGCCGTATTTGCCATCCGTTTCCCAGCTGTGCCCTAAGTGAGCCAGAGTCAGAGCAAAAGGCCTTGAATTCATTGGCTCGTCCATATCTTATCTCAGCTGAGGACACTGCATTTCCAATTCTTTTTTTTGTATTTATGTATATATATATTGCATGTATGTGCATATATATACACACACATATAACATTTTAAGTAAGATGCAAATTGCTAGTCAACTTACATGTTGAATTTTTTTTTAGTTTTTTTCTTTCATTTTTCTTTATTAAGAAATTTTCTACTCACTCCACATACTATCCACAGATCCCCCCTCCTCCCTCCTCCCACCCCCCAGGCCTCCCTCCCAAGCCACCCCGCATCCCCACATCCCCCAAATCGAGGTCTCCCATGGGGAGTCAGCAGAGCCCACCCAGCTCACTGAGCCTAGGCAGGTCTAAGCCCCTTCCCACTGCACCAAGGCTGTGCAAAGCATCACACCACAGGCACCGGGTTCCAGAAGCCTGCCCATAGACCAGGGACAGATCCTGATCCCCCTGCCTGGGTGCCCCCCAAATAGTTCGAGCCCTGGGAACCATAACCCATGGGAAGGGGAAGCCCCAGCTACCATCCCTTGCTCCAGGCTCCAGATGATGGTGTTTACAGGAACAGAGTTGGCCTCACCATGAATTTTTTAAATTATTATTATCTTAAAGCTTGTGAAATTGTAGAAGGAAGAACAATGTCATCACTATTGTTTGAAAGACGTCACAGACAATTAAATTAGCAGCAAAGTATTAGTAAAAACAGCAATGTGAAAGTTGTAAGAAATTTCTCTTTCAAAAGATGAGCTCTCTAGATAGGAATATGGGCAAAACATTTAAATTTTTAGAAGGCAATATCCCCCCAAAGCATGAAGATGTAAAAGGCAAAAACTCACTGGTAATAAAAAAAATACAAATCAAAAATAAGCAATGTATAACAATGAGAAATGAGCAAATATTTTTGAGGTGGGCATTAAATGTTAGAGGAGTAATGTGAGGTAAGCATTCTTACATACTGCCACAGGGAATATAAATTTCCCTCGAGGTTGGGTGTACCACTTTAATAATACACATCGGAAAGTCCTAAATTACGTACTTCAGAGCAAGAATTTTTCCTTCCAAGGATTTATCCTGAAGGCACTGTCAGAGGTACAAAGAACTGTGTTTGATGATTGCCCTGGTAGTGTGGTATCCATGGTTAAATGTAGGGACAGCCAGCTGACCCAGGGGAAGAACTGCGGAGTATTCACAGTTACTGAACAACTTCCAAGGACCGTGGGGAATATCTAGTTATACCAGCTGGTTAAACAGCACAAGGAACTTTAAACTATGAACAGATGATCCTGATTTTATTTTATTTTTTAAAGTTGTGTTTGTAGTATGTGCATGTAAAACTACATTGAAGAGGTTGATAAATTATCCCTGTATTGTGAACTAAGATTCTTTTTCTCATTTCATTTTTTTTAGCCTGACTCTGTGTTTTTAGATTTCTATAATGACCATGTAACTTGTAATCAAAAACATCAAATGTATATTTTTTCAGAATGAAATTGGTATATTATTGTATATAACATAGTCCAGAAAATAAAATAAATATTTAAATTTAAAGCATAATATAAAAGTCACGTTAGCATTTTTGTTACCAAAATGAATTTCTACATCTTTTTAAAAAATATTTCTTTTATTATTTATGTATGTGTATGTATACAGGTGCATATATCTGCAGGTGCCCACAGACACCAGAATCAGACCTCTTGGAGCTAGAATTACAGATGGTTGTGAATCTCCCATGGTGGATACTGAGCACTGAACCCTTATCCTCTGAAAGAGCAGCCAGCACCCTTAACTAGTGAGCTAGCTCTCCAGCCCCCACATCTTCTTGTACTCTATGTCTACCCACTATCTAGATAACAACAACAAAATCACAGTATAAAAGGTATCCTTTGAACAAATAAAAAATAGCTCAGAAATCAACTCTGCCAACTATTCATGCCTCGCAGTTATCCATAGCACTTTTGCTAGTAAGCATTTTTATGACCTAAAATTAGGTTTTAATCATTTATATACATAGGTTTCCCATACTACATACACAATATGTTATATTTTATGTTTGGGGATAGTCCCCATCAGTAACATTTCAGAAAATTTCTCTGCTCTTTAGGAATGTCACATTTCTATCAAGACTGCATATAAGTACATCGTGACATTAACTCTTAGTCATGCTTATCTTGTATGTAATAAACATTGGAATTTATTGTCATTGCTGTTTTCCTCTTTTCTGTTAGGAATAATGTCACTCATTTGTTGAGGGCCTTTCATCTATCAGACATTTTCCTGGCATGTTTTCTTTCATTCTCAC